CCGGCCGCCCCCCCGCCGGGCCGCTCCGCCGCCGGGAGGGTGGCGCTGGCCGCCGGGCGCCTACAGCTGGGCAATGCCAGCCGTGCGTTAGGGATACTGAATCCCTAAAATCAATAATAGGGAATATATGCATAGGAAGTAAAAATGACCAACTAAGGTGAAAGCCGGACTGAGACTTGAATGTCCTCAAACCCAGGGCGGCGCGTGCGTCACCCAGATTATCTCGAAGAACAAACGGGTACTGATGTTGGAAGGCGGTGGGACAAAATCACAGCGGGGGGGGGTCAATGGGGGAGATGGGTGACGAGGTTACCACTCCCCTTCTGTTTGCCTCACTGCACAAATGGAAATGTTCGTGCGGAGCATCTCCTCAGCCGAGATTTCAGGCCCCGCGTGTAAGCATGCATGATGTCAAACAACAGCACAAGAGGCTGAATAAAATCCACCCTACAACATCCTAGAAAAATGGACGAGGTATTCTTCTGGAAAGTGTCACAGGCTGAGGGGAGTTAAAACAATCTTAAGTTAACATGTTCAATAACTACCATTGACACTGTAAGCGGATACACATTATGATGTTAGAGTAACAAGTAATTTGAAAGGTACTATTTATACGTACTCTTTTACTGTTGATACGTGACCTGAATTTCCACAGGCCATAAGAAATCTGGTTCCTTTTGCATGAGCAAAATTGTATTAATGCTATCATGAACCACAAAAAAAAAAAACAAAACATCGGTAAGATAGTCTCTTAAAAGAACATTGGTCTGCATCTGAAGAAGAAAAATGTATCACGATGTCCACAGATCACCAGGTTATCTAGGAAAATATATAATCCGCAAATGACCAAGTTAATCTTAGAAAATATACAGTCCAAAAATGACCAGGTTATTTGAGAACACACAGTCCAATCCAGAGGATGATCAAGTCACCTGAGAGACAATAATACATTGACGGATAGTGCACAGAGTGGGCGCATATGGCAACACAGAAAAAAAAAAAAAAATCTTCTGTGGGAAACTGAGTTACCTTTGTCTACAGAGGGGATTACATAATTTAACTGTAATCAAAGTTAACCCCAAGTAATAGCGTAGGTGGGGACATGTGAAGATTGGATATATAAGACTCCAGCGAGCGTACACCGTGTTCCTTCAGCGCTGGGTATGCAGCACCCATCAGTCTGACGGGCTGCGTGTACTGTACTGCTGCTTATGTAAGTACTGTTTTCTCATCACTACGGGGAGCTGTGCTGCATTACCTGTTCTCGGGTTTTCTAGGTTGTATTCGGTGTGGTAACCCCCTCTCCAGCTTTGGTGTGACTGTTGAATTTGGATGCAACAACTGGAAGCAAGCAGAACAAAGTCTTAACCTTTCTTCAGACTTTTGAATCTAAAGGTCTCAGATTTTATAACGTCAAAAAATCTAGAAAGAAATACTATTAGCAGTTTAAATTAAAACATAGTTTATGCTTATGTATATATATTTATAGAAACACATAAAAATGGTTGGGGTTTTTCTTCTAGTTGGAATTCCCCAAAAGGAGCAAAATTACACTAAAGATAGTTATTTATGAAGTTAAAATTAGCTTATATTAACCACAGAGCTACAGTTGGTCCTCACTCAGGAAAACACTCATACTGAATTCAAAGTACAGCTAATTGCTTTGGCTTACAGGTCAGCATGACTGACTTCGTGATTGCAAGTACTGCCATAGCACTGAAGGTGCCCTATCAGTCTCTATCCCAAAGTTGTTTCCTCTTGCTTATAACTGCAAAAATACCACTTTGGGCTAAGGTTTTCTAAGATGCGTGGTGAAGTATAGCCTGATACTGATATCCTTCAAGGTACAGATTGAAGTTTTAATTGTAAGAGACAAAAAACTCCACAATATTTTACACCCTCTAAGTCTCAAAACTTCATTTCTAGTTTGTGGCCCAACTGGTATGATTGGCTTTTAGCTGTGGTTTTGCTACTTCTGCACCATGCAGTTATTTTAAACGTCTTGTGCCTAATCAAGGAAGTTCTTTGCCCAGGTGCACAAAATTGGAAGATTTCATTACGTTGCAGTTCTTTTAAAAAGAGCATGGCATTTTTTTGCTGATCAAAAATACTACAGTGAACAGGGCTTCCTCTCTGCTGTTGTCTGGTAAGTAGTCAAAAATTGAACATGATGAAAAATGGCCTCGGCTAATGAAGAAATACAAATTATGGGATAATACGGAAGGAATCATAGACATTTAACACCGTGTCTGCAAGTTCTGATGGGCTTTGGCACCATAATAGCTTACTAGATACTGAACCAATAAGATGAGTTTATCTGCCGAAAATAACACACGTATCATTTTTTACCTTGATTCAGAAAAATTACTTTAGACACAATACTGCAGTTGCATGCATGTCACTAAACAAACACGTTTCCTTCCTCCCACACTGAAAAATACATCTCATACATATGCTGTCTTAGGCATTTCTTCACAGTTCAAGCAATATTTTGGTCTAAAAGCTACATATATTCAGGATGTATG